CGGCACCCCCACCCGCGGCTCCGCGCGCCTCGCCCTGACACCACCCTCCGCGGCCCTCTCCCGACCCTCGGCCCCCCAGGACTCCCCTCTGGTCCTCCCCTAGGAAAGGGGCCTCTCGCCAAGTCTCCGCCTTCCCGTCCTCCCCTTGTCAATGTCGCTGTCCAGCGTCCGCCGCCTTAGGAACGCCACCCCACCTGGGCCTCCTTCTCCAGGGACCCCCTGGGCCCCACCCCCAGGACCTCCCACCTCTGGAAGCCCAGCGTTTGCTTTTCCCAATCCACTCGGCGGCTCGTCTCCACGCCCACCTGACTGGACCCGGAAGCCCGAAGAAGTTAGCCGGGGATTTCGGCGATAGGGGTGGGTATAAGGGAGAGAGCCTGGGCGAGGAAAGGGGGAAGGAGACAATGTCCAAAAAGAGTAGAGGAGGGTGAGCAGGGTATTCGGGGATGGAGGACGAAGTGTGTTTCTTTGGGAAGTGCTGGCATGTAGAGGCGTGTGCTGTGTGCATGTCTGAGGGGTATGCATAGGCCTTATAGTATGGGGTATGGAAGAGTGGTGTGTGCGTATATATTGTGTGTGTGGGGGGGCGGTGTGTATTCTGAGATGTGAGTAGGGCGAATACAAGGTTCAGTGTAGTGTGTGCGGTGTCGAGGCTTTCGGTGCGGGGAAGCGTGGTGTGTGTGTGTGTGTGTGTGTGTGTGTGTGTGTGTGTGTGTGTGTGTTATGTGGTGTATGTGTAGGAGAAGGTGTGTTACCTTGAGGTGTGTGAAGAGTATTGTAGGTGCTTGGGGGTTGTGAATAAGGTGTGCAGGAGAACTGGCTGGAGATTTCTCTCCGTGGACCAGCCAGGGAGCAAGGCCGGGATGAAGTCTGGGGAGAACCTCAGTTGAGTTCAGCTTTGCCAGTCCCATCTCCAGATCTGGCAGAAAATTTCCTCACACGCAAGTGAATGAATTTGTCCTGCGCTCAAGTGCGCAAGGGAGAGTGCTGTGATAGCTCAAATCCAGACTTGGACCTTTCGAGGCCTCCCTCCGGCAGCCCCGCCCTGGCCCGCAGTCCCGGGTGTGGATGATTCAGGCCGCCTGCGCGCAGCTTCTGAACCGAGGGTGGCTATGCCTGAGCCTGGGGTAGGGAGAAGCAGGGTCCGGGCGCGGGGATGGGAGCGCGGTGGAGAGAACGCGCCTGCGCGCCGGCCTTTGGTACATCAGGTTCCGGTCCGTCAAAGGCCCAGGGACTTTCCTATTTATTGCTCAAGGACCCTCCCAAAACTAAGAGCTGTATTGCCTGAGAAAGCCGTGCCCATGTGTCCGAGGCAGCGCAGGGGCCCTCGCCCACCCCTCCTAGAAGCCACTTGTAGGTGGGTGTATGGAAGCCTTCCAAAGACTCCCGGACGTTTGCGTGGGTTTCACTTCGGCCCATAGCTTCAGAAAGAGCGAACCAGCCTCTCTGTATTTTTAGCAGGCGGAGCAGAATTTGAAACAGCATCCTACCGGTCCTGCGCCTAGTGAATGATGACTCGCCAGAAAGCAAAGACGCAACCCTGCCTCCGTGTGAGCTTGGCGTGTGGCCCAGGAGGCTCCGTGAGCCTGCGTGCGTAAGGATCGTGACGCCCACGCTTGAGAGCAGAGCTCAGTGCAAACTTCCAATGGTTCTTCCAGTTTCCAGGGAAACGAGATTTGGAGCTGCTGCATGTTGCAGAGCTACCCCTCTCCTCCCCAGAGGGAGCCCTGCCAATGGCTGGGTTTGGGGAGGAAGGGATTGAGGACACCTACTCCATGAAGGGTGAGCTCCAATCTTAAGGTGGAAGAATTGGGCAGGGCTATGGGCATTTCTTCTGCCATCAGAGGAAGCATCTCATAGGAAGCAGCTCTGTTGCTTCTCCTCTAGATGGGCATTGCCACCCCTCTAACAATCTTTGCGTTTCTTTAACTCACAACAGGGCCCTTGTACATGATGTTCCCACTCCTAGGGTGTATTCACACTCCATGATAATCCTCACCTGACATTGCTTCCTCATTTCTCAGAATTTATTGTAATGTTTCTTAATTGTCTCAGTTTTATCTGAAGCCTGTCTGATCCAGTGCTATACTGAAAGCTTTCAAGAACTTTCTTTTATTCACTTCTCACAACAAGCGGTGAGTTAAGTCCCCTGTTATCCCCAGACAGGCTTTCCATGAATAAATCAGTGACTGCTGGAACTGGGACCCAAACCCGGGCCCTGTGCACAGGCTGTGCTGCTCCAGCTGCTTTCCGGACTCCAGCCCCTGAAGAGGATTCCCCATAGTACAGAATTTCCCTGTAGTACAAATATGTGTCCCTACCAGGTGGGGCTGGAAACGGCAGGGTAAGGGCAGTTCCACCTGCTTCTCGGGATGGCTGTTTGTGCATGTGTCTGTGATGCAGTAAACGTTGATCTGGTCTTGCCTGAAGCATAGGGCCAGGAGCCTGCATACAGGTGTCTCTTCAGTGTCGGGAATAAGGGAAGTTGCTCCGAGAGAGACTAACTCGGCAGCTGAAGGGGAGAGGGGGACTGCACTGAGAAGAATCTTTAAGCTCAACCAATTCAACTTTATTCTGAGGGCAGGGGGACCACAAGTTTGCAGGGGAGCATCCTGGTATGTGTGTGTTGAGAAGGAGCTCTACTGGAATTTGGGAAAGCTAAAGGATCTCCCTCCCTCCTTGAAGTATACTGGGACCACTTAACAATCACTGCAGTTTCTGCCCAGCATGAGTCAGCAGAGAGTGGGAGGGGCAATCTGTGGCCCCAGGACAGCTAAACCAAGAGTGACATTGAAACTAACCCATGTAGGATTTTGGAGCAGATTGAATTGCTTTATGTCAGGATCCTTTCACCAAGGAAGAGCTCACCATGCTCTACGATCTTACAGAGTCTGCTTAACTTGCCATGCATGCCAAGGAGGGGACCCAGGGTAGCTGTAGTCTAGTCAAGTGACCTGGTGGACTCAGAGGCAGGAAGGAGAGCAACTCCTGAAAAAACGAAACAAAACAAAACACCAGAGAGGAATCACAACATCATCAGCTACTGAGTAAGTTCCCACAGAGCCTGGGCGGGTCTGGCAGCCTCCTCCTGGGGCATTATCACTGTCCTACACTGAAAACAAGGAAGAAGTGCTAATCCCAACAAAGACACAGCAGAAATACAACAGCAATTATGTATTAAGGAATATTTTCCTATCACCTTTGAGTCTTATTTTAATATTTACATAGTTACTAACATCTAAAACTGCACCTACTAAAATATTGATTCAATTAATTGAGCTCGTATTTTTTTTCTACTCCACCACTTATGTTGTTCATATGTCTTTTAATAAAACAAACAAACTTGGAGCCAGATATTGGGGTGAATACTGAAAGATTAGAGAGACAAAGGAGCAAGCCACTGGGGTGTCTTACCTCTAGGACTTCTCAACCTGAAAAGCCTTTAGTTTCTGTCTCCTCACACCTTATATACCATTCTCCTCCCAGCCATTAAAGGCATGTGTGCTTCCCAAGTACTGGGATTAAAGGTGTGTGCCACCAATGCCTGGCTCCTTTTCTCTCCTAGACTGAGTCAATCTCATGTAGTCCAGGGTGGCTTTGAACTCACAGAGATCCAGACAGATCTCTGCCTCCTGAGTGCTAGGATTAAAGGTGTGTGCCACCACTGCCTGGCATCTATGTTTAATCTAGTGGCTTGATCTGTCCTCTGATCTTCAGGCAAATTTTATTAGGGTACAACAAAATATCACCATTTTTGTTCTTTATTTTATACCCTATGTCTTAGTCCACCTTCTTTTATTATAATGGAATACCATAACATTTACAAAGAGCAAAGGTTTATTTAGCTCACAGTTCCAGAGGAGTTTGCAACTGTGAAGTCCTCGTGCTGTACTATGGCATGGTGTGTGGTATCACATGGCAAGACAGAGCAACCAAAGAACTCCTTCCATGACAAAGCTACTCAACCAGTTACATCCCAAAGGTCCCACCAACCCTCATGAACATATAACTTTGTATTTTCAGCTCATGAGTTCTGAGGACAAAAAGCACACTTCATACTGGCCAAGTAGCTGTCATTTTCATTGTTAATCTCACCTCCATTTTTCCAGGAATAGCCACGATTAACCTGTTACTTCAGATGAGCAGTACAGGCATCTCTGTGCAAAACACCCAGTGAGTCTTCCAAAGAACTCATGAAACCATGGCCATGAGTTCTCAGAGATGGACATAACAGTGTTTATTATATTAAAAGCTTGTGTTTTATAGAATATAATCACAGAAAATATTAAATATACATGTGACATCTTCATGACATTTAAGTAAGCATTTATCTAGCTTCATCCAAGATACAAGACTGGAGTACCTGAGATGCAGCTCAGAGCCTGTCAGCCCACCAGACCCTTTCCCTGCATTTGCTTAGATATTTGTTAGGAGGAATACATTCCTAACCATTGTAGTTGGCTTGGCCTGGTTTTGGTTTTGCTTTATCATTTGTTTATCTTTGTACAGTGAATCACAGGGTGTGATTCTCCATGTCTGACTTCTTTTGTTCCATATATATTTGTGAAGTGTGTCCATAATGCATCACAGCTCTAACTGACTCATTGATGGTTATGAAGCCCTGCAGCTTACCCAGTTCACTGCAGTAAACATCATATTATTGCTAGTTTGGGATATTGTGTCCTGAATCATTGAGACATACAGTTGAGTGGCCTGAGAATGGAATTGCTGGGTTGTGAGTAATACCATCTTTGCTTTTTTATCCTTTTGGCACTGAGGTATAATTTATGTACAAATTAGAACCACTGGTCTTAACTATAATTCCATGAGTTTGGACAATTTATGCAAGTGACCAAATCATGACTCAGTACTGTTCCAGCTTCTGCAAAAGTTAGCCTTCTCAACTTTTCTCCCTCTCCAGGTCCATGCACTATAGTTTGTTGGGGTTTTTGTTTGTTTGTTTGTGTTTTGTTTTGTCTTTTGTATTTTTTTGAGGCAGGGTTTCTCTGTGTAGCCCTGGCTTCCTGGAACTCACTCTGTAGACCAGGCTGGCCTCAAACTCACAAAAATCTGTCTGCTTCTGCCTCCTAAGTGCTGGGATTAAAGGTGTGCACTAGCAATGCACTATAGTTTTTATTACAGCATTTCGTATGCATGGACTCAAGCAGTGGACAATCTTTTCTGGTTTCAATGCCTTTTAGATTTGTCCATACTCTTGCATGAATCAATGGATTGTTTGTTCTTATCTTTAAATAGAATTCTACTAAAAAAAGTGTTTATCTATTCACAACATGATGGGGTGAATTTATTCACAACCCTAGAGGAGTGACTGAGATACTATTCAAAGGTGGTATCATGCAGGTTGAAGTCATTGTGGGTGCAATTCCACCTCCTTAGGTGTGTAATAGGCATGGTATTGTTGGGCTCCATCACACATTTATTTTATTTATTATTTTATGTGGTAAATGTGATTATTTACCACATTCCCCCATGCCATGTGTGTACATTCCAAGAATCTATATTCTTAGCAACCCAAGATAATGTCAGCTTCCCTCGTGTGTTGTCCAATCTGGTATCCATAGATGGCTTCTCACTGTGACTTTAGTTTGTATTGCCCAGTTATGAATGCTATCAACCCTTTCACTTATCTTCTTCAGTAAAGCATTTTTTGAAAAACCTTTTGTTAGCTTTTTAAAATTAGGCAGTCTCTCTATATTATTATTATCATAAGTGAACAGAAATCATGACTGGAAACATGGCATGTTTTGGCCCTTTGGCTCCTCCTGTAATAACCCAAGTACATTTTTATACTTCATTCAGTCTGATCCCTGAGAACCCCATCAGCTACTCAATCTGTGAGTCCAGCAAAACAACCATGATTTTTCCCAGTGTAGGTCTAGATTTGTGCCACAGAAGGGACTTGCGGTCTCATAATATTCATGGCTCTGGAGAAGCAACTCACCTAAAACCTCTTTCCTTCCTTCCTTTTTTTTTAATAGGAAAAAAAATCATGTTTGAAGTATATACTAGGCAGCATGCCTCTAACAAAGACCTGCATTGTAGTGGTTCTGGACATACTATTGTGGGATTTGGAACTCAGCTTCTTGCTTGCCTGAAACAGGTAGGGAGTCTGAATCAGAAGAGTCAAGCCAAGAAACATCAATCATCCTGAAGGAGTCTTCAGAGGTTGAAGTTTCGGTGAAGCTGGCCATGCCCAGGTAAAAATAAATTCTATAAAACCACAATTAAATAAATTATATTAAAATATGGGTAACAAATACTTAAAGCAGCCACTTTCTATTTTACCACACTTTTCTGTTCAGTTTTTTAATTACTTATTTATGTATTTTATGTATGAGTGCTCTATCTGCATGTCTGCTTATATGCCAGAAGTGGGCATCAGGTCCCATTGCAGATGGTTGTGAGCTGTCCTGTGGTTGCTGGGAATTGAACTCAGGATCTCTGGAAGAGCACCCAGTGTTCTTAACTGTGGAGCCGTCTCTCCAGCCCTTTACCACACTTTTCTATTACCTGTTTTCAGAAATTGTGTCTAGCTAAGCAAAAATGTGTATTCTGCTCTGTGTTTCCCAACCCCTTGCTCAGTAGCTCTGGGTGATAGCGTATGGTTTACCACAGCAGGAGAATTTATACCACAGAAATTAGCAGATGATGCGAGTCTGATGGGGCTGACTGTTTTACTTATAAAGTGAAGGGAAATATGAACGGTGCAGACTGGACTTAAAATGGATTGTGGCGATAGCCATCGTTTTAAGTCTAGAACATGTTTCTTTTGGTGCTTGGGAGCCGTCACCTTGCAGTTATAGCATGCACATTGTATATCTCTAATGAAAGGCATCCCAACATGATTCCCTCTTGTCCTCCATGGAACTCATCTACGTATGTGAAAACAGCACCCAGCATTCAAACCAGAGCAGCACCCTCTTGTCAGCGATAGGAGCAAGCGTCCTGCTGAGTCAGATGTAATCAGGGTTTATTCATGTCCTAATTTTGCGATACTGTTGTCAGTGATACAGTTACAAAAACAGTGGATTTTGCAAGAAATAGCAAGTCACATTGAAGTCATAAAATAAAAAGCAAATAAGTACTTTCATTTAAAATATTATTTCCAAACTTATATAAGAAAATGCTTTTTTCCTAGTTTTTCCATTTTTAAAATTGCATTTATTTGTTCACTGTGTGTGTGCATTTGCATGTGGGAATGTGACTGTAGTGGAAAACATGTGGAGGTCAGAGGACAACTTGCAACATCTGATTTTCTTCTTCCACCTTGTGAGTTCTACAGATCAAACTCAGGTCATCAGGGTGGTAGCAAGTGCCTTTACCTGCTAAGCCATTTCACTGGCCCATTAAATTGCTAATAGAATTTTTATGTTAGCTCAAGTAATGGCATGAATTTTAGTAAGATTATAAAACTGTTTCTCATATTTTGATCTACCAAATGCTAATAAAACAGTAATTTCTCACATTCTTTCCCATAAGAGACAGGTGAAAACAGATACAGGAAAGAATCTTGTGACCTTCAGTCCTGCACTGCTCATTTTCTAAAGATTTAGCAGACCACCAGGATGCTCTGAGTGTCCAGGAATAGTTACCAGGAAAGATATGGCTCCTGCTTCTTGAGACAGCTTTGTAGGAGAGGAAAAACACCATCATATAGCTAAGGAAATGCCTTACTATAGCCTCCTGTTTTCATCTGCCCTATCAAGACCTTATTCCAGCACGTTGAGATTTTCATGTCTCTTCTTTAAAGAAAGACAAGACCCACCCCAAACCTTGTACTCAGTTGAGAAAAACTCATTCTTGCTTTGCCAAAACTGCAGAGCTGTCCTCACTGTCCACACCCAGGCCCTAAACAATAGCCAAGTTCTGGGAAGACCTCTGCCCAGCAGCAGCTCCCTAGCCACCGGCACCTACATTTCCCTCGATAGTGCCTGTAGTCATCTTTATAGTCCTCAAGGGGCCAGCCAGCCTTTGAAATGAGAGTCACTTATAGTAGCTACTACTCAAAATGTTTTTTGCTCTCCTTCAAAGTGAGCAAAAGCAATTCTGTGTGGTTACACATTAATCTCCCTTAGTCCCTGGCTCACTCTGTCTCACTATGTTCAGGGTACCTGTAGGGAAGCCTCCTCATTCAGACTGTCCTAAGCTCCTTGTCTTTTCTAAGATCCGTTTCCTCATAAAAATTTAACTAAAAAAGTGAGACAGGGTCTATTAATGGCCTGGAATTCACCAAGTAGACTTGGTTATTTGACTGTTGAGTTCAGGGATCTGAAGACAGGGACCTGTTTGTTTACTCATTGTTCTCAGTGTCAATAACAGCATCTGGCATATAGTACATGGTCTGTGAATATTTGTATAACTGATTTTTAAAATTTACACAATTAAAATTTGAAGAATGTAAACTATGATTTACTCGTCATAATGGTCTATAAGCAGCGCTTCTCAGCCTGTGGGTTGCAGCCCCTTTGGGTGTCACATATCAGATATCCTACACATCAGATATTTAAATTACAATCTATAACAGTAGCAAAATTATAGTTACAAAATAATTTCATGGTTGGGGGTCATCACGACATGAAGAACTATATTAAAGGGTCACAGTGTTAGAAAGATTGAGAACCACTGGTCTATAGCTTGGAACGTTCTTAAGAGACTTGCTACACTTGAGTCTGGGCCTAAGGTGCTAGATTTCATTCACAAAGTGTGAGAGAACATGAGAGTGAACTCCATCAGGAAATTATGTGACCTGATGTGTCACCTTAGAAACACTTCCTGGTCATAAAATCTGGGATGAAGAGTTATTCAGGCTTTGGTTCCAAGGCTTCTAGGAGTTCCCACCACAAATATTCCCTCATGGCCTGTCTTTGTCACTATTCTGTTGCTGTGAAGAGCCACCATGACCACAGCAACTCTTATAAAAGAAAGCATTTAAGTGGGGGCTTAGAGTTTCAGAGGATAGTTGAAGGCAGGGAGCATGTTGCCATGCAGGCAGACATGGCACTGGAGAAGTAGCTGAGAGTTCTACATCCTGATCCACAGGCAGAGAGGAGAGAGAGAGAGACAGACAGACAGACAGACAGACAGACAGACAGAGACAGAGAGAGACAGAGACACAGAGACAGAGACACAGAGAGACTGGGCTTGACTTGGGGTTTTGAAACTTTAAAGTCCACACCCAGTGACATACTTCCTCCAACAAGGCCACACCTAATTCAACAAGGCCACACCTCCAGTTCTTCTCAAACAATGCTACTCCCTGATCGCTAAGCACTCAGATATGGGGACCATTCCTATTCAAAGCACCACATGGCCCATGTCTGGGTCCCTAGGGTATTCCTGGTCCGATCTCAGACCAGCTAGTGAATGCCTGTTGCTCTCCCACAAACCCTCAACCTCCATCCTTTGGGGCTGAGTCCCATCAGCCAGAAGTGCTTTTGGTATTCTTTCTCTGTTGAGGTCAGGCTTTCCTGTGGTGTCTCAGAGAATGAGCTCATTCTGTCACTGCCCAGTCACCTGTCACTCCTGCCCCAGCTGAGTACACTTAGAGACCCTCCCCACCAAAGAACTATCCCCAGAGGCCATATGCCCAAGAACCCTCCAAAGCTTCCTCTGCCTGTTACTACCCATCCTTGGGCTCCAATAGCTCTGCCCTGCCCGGAGTTACCTGGATACACACCTTGGCAGGGGTTCAACAAGTGCATACAACACACTGTGATGGACTCTGCAGGGGGACACAGTGGGCTGTAGGTCCTGCCTACCAAAAACAAGTTCATGGTTGCCTCTTGAAGGTTTCCACTCAGACCAGTCAGTTGTCCTACCTAAACCCACCAGAATGGTCTCCCAGAGTCATGAAAATGCAGGCATAGGCATTCCTTGGCTGTTCCAGGCCAACAGACTGGCAAATCAGGATCCTTAGGGCAAAGTCCTCTGCCATCCTCTAACACATACAGACCACCCTCTTTCCGTCTCCTGATCCAGGCTTCTTCCTGGAAGGTAGCCATGCTTCCTACACCTGCTTAACCAGACCCTCATTCCCCGCAGTGGAGCCACGGGACACATGAGTGTATCCTAGACTCACTCCAAACCCACAATCAAATCCTATATATGAGTACTACCAGGACAGTAACCCGGGGGGGGGGGGTCACTGCTTCACCAGGCACAGGTGGAATTTGGGGAACAAAATATTATGTCTAGCCAGTGCTATAGCCAATCCAGGGCCATGGAGGTCTGTAAAGCTCTGGGTGCTGTCCCAGACCCCAGACCCAGGCAATAAATCACTAGAATGAGACACAGCATTTATGAGTAAGGCCAACATGGAAGGGCAAATTGTCCTGAGATGCATGAGAAACCTCTCTTGGATGGACCTCAAATACTGTCACTGTTCACATGTCTTTCATGGCCTCCTTTGGAGTCTAGTTGAAGCACTTAATGGGAATACTTCTATGTCTCCTCCGACTTCTGTTTATGGTAGTACAGACCCAGGTAAGCCATGTCAGAGGTGGACAGTGCTGCCAGCTGACCTTGTTTTAGCAGTGGGATCCAGAATAAGTGGGACCCATCTCCCAAGAAAGAATTTCCACTTTTCATCTCCATCATGAAGACACAGCTGGACCGCCGATGCAGGATTCTGCACTGATGCTGTACTACAAAGACTAGAGAAACTTCTCTGCTTTGGTTTCCTTCAGAAATGGACCTGGCTCTATCTCCTGTGGTGGTATTGTGTTCCCCAAAATATTGTGTACCCTAATAAACTTACCTGGGGTCAGAGAACAGAAAAGCCACTAGATACAAAGGCTAGAAAATGGTGGCACTCACACCTTTAATCCTAGCACTCCAGAGGCAGAAATCCATATGTTCAAGGATACAGCCAAGCATGGTGACTCACACCTTTAATCCCAGGGAGTGGTGGTAGAAAGCAGAAAGGTATATAAGGCATGAGGACCAAAAACTAGAAGCATTTGACTGGTTAAGCTTTCAGACTTTCGAGCAGCAGTTCAGCTGAGATTCATTCTGGATGATGACTCAGAGGTATCCAGTCTGAGGAAACAGGATCAGGTGAGAAACTAGCAAGGTGAGGTTGGCTGTGGCTTGTTTTGCTTCTCTGACCTTCCAGAGTTCACCCCAATACCTGGATCAGGTTTGATTTTATTAATAAGAACTTTTAAGATTCATGTTACAATCTCCCACATACTCTGGCCTCCCACCACTCCACCTGGATTGGGCCTTGCTTCTACCTGTGGAACTAAGCAGGGTTCTTATGTTTCCTGTGTTCTTTTCCTCATTTGTAATCATGCTGCTGCTGCTGTCTACCACACTGCTCCTTGTATTCCTGGACTGCCAAAGCCAGGGCTGGACAGTCCTGGTGGAGCCTTTCTTCCTTAGCAGACATAAGTAGACACAACCATCCTGCAAATCAAACTTTCTTGTAAGGCAAACAAGATCACAATGGCTGGACGATCATCCCAGATTTTCAAATAAACCCTCACAGAGATAGACGCTCAGGGATGACACTGAAGTTTCATCCGAGGCATCGTCGAGTCACAAGCAGGCAAAGAACAATTACTGGTGCAATTAAAAGAAGAACTCCTGCCAAAACAGTAAGAGCATAGGTGCCAGGGTCTCCCTCCCCTTGAAATAACTCAAATGCTGCACAGAAGGCAGCAAGTGTGGTGTTCAAATGCTAGGCATTAAACAAGGGAATACAGTAACTGAGCATCAAATAATCCAATACATCATGTAACAGCTTGAGAGTTGCCAGCAATAGTGCCAGCCGAGGAGCCCAGGCAGAGTCAAAAGACCTTCCTGGGTTTAAGAGACAGGGTTGTGCTCAGGGGACCAAACTAAATGTGTATAAGTTTGATTTTGTCAATTATACTTCAATACAACTATGGAAAGTGTGCTAAAAGCACACTGTTAAATATTAAATATCAGTCAGAAGTGACAAAGCTATATCTCTAAGTAGATAAAAAAAAAAGCAAAATGGGGGCTGGAGAGATGGCTCAGTGGTTAAGAGCACCGACTGCTCTTCCAGAGGTCCTGAGTTCAATTCCCAGCAACCACGTGGTGGCTCACAACCACTTGTAATGAGATCTGGTGCCCTCTTCTGGCCTGCAGGGACACATACTAGCATAATACTGTATACATAATAAATAAATAAATCTTTAAAAAAAATGTTGGAAAAAAAAGCAAAATGGTTTAATCATATATGTGTGCTTAACCATATATAAGTGAATGAATTGATAATGATGGTTAGATAGATGGATGGAAGAGTGGCTAGATGAATGCATAGGTAGGCAGGTAGGTAGATAGATGATAGATAGATAGATAGATAGATAGATAGATAGATAGATAGATATAAAATTAGATATGAAAGGGCCCTAGACCAAAGATGATATATCACAAGTACTAGAAGTGGGGATTGGAAGTTAAAACTGGAGTTAATAGCTTGTCCTGTGCAAAGGTTATAACCTCAAATGAGTTGAGCGTATAACAACCATGATTCTGTCTCCCTTTGGTTTTCTCTAAATTTTATAGTTAGAGGATAGCTGAGATAAATCCTTTTCATTCTGGAACCACAGCTGTGGAAAAAGTTCTTTTGTAGATGTGGTATCTCTGCGGACAAAGAATGAGGACAATGGCCCCATGCCATGACAATTAGAAGAAGCTTTCTGGCTTTTTCCAAATTCTTTCAACAATGCCACAGGTCAGTATCTTGAGGACGGTTTCCAGGTAGAACTGACTTCTCACTGCAATATCAGCACTACTTCAAACACAGCTTACTCAGAAGCACTTTATCCAACCCTAGAGTCTGAGGTCTCCTCAATCAGACCCTGGTTTTCCTCACAGGAGGTGATTGAGCCAGAACACTCCTGCTTTCATAAAGGTCTTTCTGATCATGGGTATGACTCTACATTTCTGTATCAGTGCTCAGCTATTTTTCTGGCTCCCTTAACGTTTCTTAAATGAGTGAGTGAGTTCCTTAAATAATGTTTCTTAAATAGGCTCTGCTCAGTTAAAGCCCAAATGTTCTGCCCTCAAAGCCAGGGAGGCTCCCCAGCCCCCACATGGGACTCTATGGTGAACAGGCAGCCTTTTCCTTAGAGACAGGACACTATCCCTCAATCAACAGACGCACCAGGAACCCTGGCTATAGCCCTTTGGAAACAGGTTGTGTGTTGCTGAACCTGCACTAATCTTGGAGCCACATTCTGCCTTCTGGCTGAACAAGCTGTAGACAGCCATCCACTTCCAGATCCTCACAGCAACAACCTGGGCCTGAGCAATGTTTTTCCTCCAAGAGACAGATGCCAAACTCATGTTCGCCCTGAAAGGATGTGAACTGATATCTCTGGGGTCATCTTGGGGTGAATGAAGAACCAGAGTCTGGCCACCAGGACACACATGACCC